TTGTCTACCAGCTTAGTATTGCTGGTGATGCTGGTCTATGTTTGGTGGACAAGCAAGACAAAACTACCACCCAGATAGCATACAGTTCTGGGCCACATCTGGGCCAACTAAGGCACATATGGCTCACTTCTGGCAATGGCAGGAGACATATGGGCCAGATGTGGCCCGTATGTGTCACACCGGGTGTAGTGTGAGTTGTGGCCTGCTGTATGTGGGCCAGATGTGGCCCGTGTGTGACACCCCGGGTGTAGTGTGAGTTGTGGCCTGCCGTATGTGGGCCAGATATGGCCCGTGTGTGACACACCGGGTGTAGTGTGAGTTGTGGCCTGCTGTATGTGGGCCAGATGTGGCCCGTGTGTGACACATCGGGTGTAGTGCGTGTTGTGTATTTTTAGTTCCGGTTTAACTTTAAATTAACGGGAGCCTTTGAAGTGGTTACAAATTATTAGAAATTGAAAATCAAAGTTAATTTGTCTTTCTAAGTCTGTACACTTTCATTTTATGAAGTAGAAAATAGAAAATAAATATTGTAAATTAATGTACTGTGATGCAAGGATTTACATTTTTCCGATTGGCTACTTCTGCCTGTGGACTGCATACCTAATGAGTGGGAGGGGCTTGCTGCTCAAACAAAACACAGACTCTGATGTGAAGCATCAGCAGTTCTGTGTTTCCTGTGTTTTATTAACATTATTGTCCCTCATCAGGCAGTGAGAGCGCTACACCTTCTCTGAAAATAATAACATTGCATGTTCTAAATAAGACTTTCTGAGATTGAAAATGATTCTTTAGGTTATTAAGAATAGGAATAAGCTATTGCTTATCAGGGAAAGTATATGTTTGTAACCTTATCACATATTAATTCAGTTTATTTCCTCAATAATGGATTTATTTTTACTTTAAGGCTGCTATGAATATAAATTTATATTATCTGTTATATGTAAATGTTCCAGCATGAGTAAATTTTTTTTTTTTCATATTACCTGGTATGTCTATAAATGTCTATAAATGCAATGAGTTTCATCATTTATTATGCTTTGATCTATTAATGTTTTGTTCAGTTTCTCCATTTGAATGAATTAAGACAGTGTCCTACCGCCTCCTACTGGGTGGATTTAATTTGCTATTAGTACTACTTTTTAATGAACAATTTTACAAATGAATTCATAATCTAATAATACTAAATTAAAGTGCTGTTTTCTTGGTGTTACTTTTTGCAATTCTACATTTTTATAATGATTTTGTTTGATTAAATGCCACATACAACATTGTTCTTTTTTTTTATTTGAATATTAAATAGACATAAATGTTTTGTTTATGAATAAAATAACTATATAGAAAAAAATGTCAGAGAACTGAGCAGTAGAATGTGAATAACATGAATGTGTTCGTAAATAAGCTGATCTTTGTAAACAAAACAAGTTTTATTTACTTATTCTACAGAACACAAAAAATAATAAAAATAAATCTGACCAATTTTAATGCGCACACCTAACCCCGCTCCTAACCCGACCCCTCACTTTGATGTCACTAGCTCTATTTGAGTGCATTGTTTCTGACATTGCATGTCAAACTGTGTATCTCAGCTTGCATATGCAAGTCTGCAATCAGATACTAATGCTTCTGCAACACAGCCCTGAGGGTACAATCCTCAGTGCAGGGAAACACCACACATTATCTTAATCACAAACTACAGCAAATTTAGTTTATCCAAAATTCACTTATACTGCAAATTTTTGCACTATGGAAGAAACTGGAAACCAACAGAAACAACATGCAAACTCAACATAGAAAGGCCCAAAAGTCTATCCTGGTTCTGTGTGTGTGCACCTGTAACAGCGTCAACAAATTTTATAGACAATATGCTATCAATAAGCATGTTAATTAGCAATTAGTTGATTGTAAATATATCTTAAAGTGTTATAGTTTTTATATAACAAGCTACTGAATATTAAAAATAACAGTAAATATTTTAGAATTACAGCATGTTACATAACAGAGCAAGGACATGTTCACAGTATGTCTGATAATATTTTTTCTTCTGGAGAAAGTCTTCGACTAGAATAAAAGCAGTTTTTAATTTTTTTTAAAGTGTTTTAAGGTCAAAATTATTAACCCCTTTAAGCTATATATTTTTTCGACAGTTTCAAAACAAATCATTGTTATAAAATAACTTGCCTAATTACCCTTACCCTAATATATATATATTTATTTATTTAAAAACATTATCATAAACTGCCCCCTGGTGGCGAATATGTGTTTCGCTTCATCCTTGCATTACGGTGGAGTGGGCGGAGCCTCGTGAATGACGGTTAATTTTTCAAACGAGGAAGTGAAGTCAAGTCCGCCATTTCATCTTCTTCTTTTTATCGGGTAAGTTATTATTTTAAAATCATATTTGTGAGATATTTGTCGTCAGGTAATGTTTTTATTAGTTAAAAAAGCCCCTGTTTTGAATAGTGATAAAACTGTAACTTATATGTGGATAATATGGCTAAAAACTGATGGCTAAGAATGATGGCAGCCGTCAGTTCAGTAACGTTAATCTGTTAAGTTGATTGTGCTCGGGGTTTTAACAAATTCATTTAAGTTACAATTGTCCTTTTACGCTCGTCATTCCCAATTAAATGATCAATAAGACGTGTTATATGAAGAACAGCGTCGAAACGGGAGCTTGAATGAATGAATCAAATGCTGTCCGTTTTATACAGTTGTAATTGGTGCCGAGTTCTGCTTTTGTACTGGTTTTAGCTCAAACACTGAACGAACAGTCTCTTTTTGGTAACGTTAATCCTAATGATCTTGATTTGCTTGTTAATGTGTGTTTTATCAAGTTTCAGCAAACGTTTACAGAGTAACGTTATGTGGTTCATGCTGGCCACTGTTGAGACTGGTCTGCATTAAAAAAAATTTAAAGCAAAAACGTTTGAAAAAAAAAATCCACAGTTGAAACATAATGTGTTAAATGACTTATGAAGGAAATTAATTAGCTAAAAAAGAAGGCTAAGTGTGTTATGAAATATTAAACCTTGTTAAAAAATAAAATCAATTGTGTTAAATAAGCTTAAAATCCATATCTTATGTTATATATTACTTTAAAACGGCCTGCAAACTGAATTGCACCATTAATCTTGTACATATGTATCAAGTCCAAACAAATGGTTTTGTGGCAAGTAAAAATAATATTTTTATAAATTGATTGTATTGTATTAATTTGTTACAGAAAAGAAAGGAATCATGCAAGGATGCAAGCTGAAGTAAAGGACAACTCTCACATCAGTGCATTACTAATTGTTTGACTTCATCATCAAGCACACCAGGTACAATATTGTACATATTTTGTAACTTGTATATGTCAGACTGGTTGTTGGGAACTAAAATAATATATTTTATGTTTTATTTATTATTAAAATATTACAAGATTTATTGCTGCTATTTTATCACTGTGTGAGGTCATAGCTTATTTAAAATATATATTATTAAAAAAATCTAATTTGAAAGAAAGTCTAAATTTTTCCACAAGGTAATTTATTAAACTGTTTTCTGAAAATGTAAAATTTGAAAGTATTGGTGAGCTGGAAAAACAGTCTGTTGACGTAACTTTTATTTTTATCTTATCTTTTTATTTTATGTTAAAAGTAGATTAATTTACCTTGGATCGCATGTTTCAGTTATAATTTCAGAGTGAAAAATGTAAAAGAAAACCATTGAAAACAATGGCATAATGATTTTGCTTGTTCACAAGAGGTACTTGATTTATTTTTCCTGTAGTGATACATAAGTTTTTAAGACTAATGCTTGACACTTAAATTTTAAAGGGATAGTTCACCCAAAAATAATGACATCTTTTATCCTCCACTTGTTTCAAATTATTTTTTTTTTGTTCTGTTGAACATAAACTCAGGTGGTGCGGTGCACAGTGGATAGCTCTGTTGCCTCCCAGCAAAAATGTTTCTGGTTCGAGCCTCGGCTGGGTCAGTTGGCATTTCTGTGTGAAGTTTGTATGTTCTCCCCGTGTTGGCGTGGGTTTCCTCCAGGTGCTCCTGTTTCCCCCACAAGACATGCGGTACAGGTGAATTGGGTAAGCTAAATTGTCCTTAGTTAATGTGTGTAAATGAGAGTGTATGGGTTTTTCCCAGTGATGTGTTGCAGCTGGAAGAGTATCTGCTGCGTAAAAAATGCTGGATAAGTTGACTGTTCATTCCACTTTGGTGACCCCAGATTAATAAAGGGATGAAGCTGAAAAAAAATGAATGAACACAAACCCAGTTTTTCCTACTATGTTAATCAATAGTTACAGGTTTCTAACATTCTTCAAAATATCTGCTTTAGTGTTTAACAGATTCAAACTGCTTTGAAACAAGTAGAGGATGAATAAATGGTGGCAGAATAGTAAACTATATCTTTAAATGTTTTATTCTGTATGTTATGTGTATTCATATTTGTCTTGTCTTTTGTCATATTGTCCTTTTAGCTCAGATTGTGATGGACCTGGAATGCGACACCAGTTACTCTTAAAGCCTGATTTATACTTCTGCGTCAGGGGACCGGCATAACCCACGGCGCATGCAACGCGCGTGGCTGTGCATTTATACTTCTGCGCGCTGTCTCTGTCGGTCTGCATTAACACTTCCGAAACGCTAGTTGGCAGTAAGGTTTAAATGTTCCTCTGTGTCGAGTTTCTTCGCTGCTTTTTTGCTTTTCCTGAACACTTCCGGGATGTACAAGTGGCTCAAACTCGCTCATTTTGAGGCAGGAACCGGTGGACGTACAACAACTTTAACTATGAGGTAAACACAAAACAAAACTTTCTATCCGGAGCTCCTTCACGGTACTCCACACTTGTAAACAATCGCTTGCTCACATTCGCGCTGCTCTCGGTCCCGCCCAGACTCGTCAGCGCTACCAAGCCGACCAATCACAGAGCTTACGCTAGGCGTCGTTGCGACTTGTAGTTACATTTTTTGAGAAGTGCACGTCAGTGACGGCTACGGCGAAGGGCTATGCGTCAGCGCCATAGCATACGCCGGCGTTTGACGCAGAAGTATAAATCAGCCTTAAGTCAAGAACCAAATGAAGCACCAGAGTACAGATTATGGAGGTATCTGAAGTTGAACTAACTGGAAGCAGGGAACCATACTAATAAAGTTCCTTAAGGTAAAAGCACCTGCTTTATTTTGATAGGAAGTATTTTTTTATAGAGTTCTATTGTTTTATTCTTATTCTAATTTTATTTTATTCATATACTGAATTGAAGTCATTCAAATTTCACAACAAATGATTTGCAGATTGAATATAAAATATAATGACATTTTAATGCATTATTTCTTTTGGTTATTCTTTACATCTATATATGGGCAAGTATTTAATCAATGAAAATAATTTTAAACAACTTAACTAAACAAATTACTCTGTTGGACCCTAATATTTAAAATAGCAAAATCCTCAAACTAACACACACTCTTGTGAATGCATTCTCACATTCATACACTCAAAAACACACATTCATACAACAGTCTGTCTCAGTCTGACTCACACACAACATCCTCTGCCACATATTTTTCTAGCAAACCTCCACCACAAGCTTGTCCTTTTATGTTGCTTTTATTTCAAATATTTTAGAGCATGATATAGTCCAGGTTTTTATCACTAAGTATTTTTTTTTCCATTCAGCAGGTTCCTTGTAAAGATTAACCCAGGGAAGGATCGAAAGTGGAGAAGACCAGATCAAGAAAGACTACATCAAGATCTGCGGTCAGTTCAAAGGTACTTTCACTAATTACCAAGATTTCAGACTATGAGTTGATGGAGAAAACTTTGAGTGTCAGATCTTCCTACATCGCCTAGCAAAAATTCTTCCCAGTGTCTTGTAGTAGAAGTGATGTAGTCAATCGAGTTTACATTATTTCGTAAATTGCTTTCTGATTTAATAAAAAATATATTAACCAAACTTGATTAATGTAAAAATTTTGATGAAAAGGGCATGTTTTACTAGAGCTTTTAGCACAAAGGCACCCCCATCTTGGAATATTGCTGTGTCTGACGTCACGGGGTTGGTATGCTAGAAACGTTTTTGAATGAGGTATTTGTATGATTTATACATAGTCTGTCTTAAAGCGTCACTAAATTGTACAGGCATTACAGGTCAAAGCAATCTGTTGTTACATTTATCAAAATAAACAATAAGGCTCTTAAAACACTGCTTTGAAAAATGTAGAAAATGTAAAACAAATATTTCAAATATTTTATAATATTAATAATATTATGAGGAAGTATAAAACCTTCCTAAGCTTGAAAATATACCAAACTTCCTTAAAGGAAATAAACTTCCTTTGTTAGTGCAAATTCCTTTTTATGTAGTCTTGTAATTAAACAATTAAACCATTCAAACAAGTTTTGAATTTTCCAAATGTAACTAGCTAAAATAGTACCATGTACTTTTACTCTGTATTGGTATTATTTACTAAAATTTGTTTTATTTTAGCAATATAATAGTATTTCTAGTCCTTTAATTTAATGTAATTTAATTTTCAGTTCTCTTTCCATCTACAAAAACATTAAAAAAATAATTTCACAAGCACATTTAAAATAGGTTTAATACTATGAAATATTATATTAATATTATTTTTTATAAATTGATAGATAGTTCCTATGGAATGTTTTTATGTATCGCTGAGAATACATTTCAGGTGTTCAATACGTTGCTTGTCAGTCTTAAAAATAAAAATAGGTGCTGAAAAAAGTGCTTAAAAGTCCTCAATTTTAATCGAGTTGTGCCTGTATGTACTCTGCAAACAGCACCTTTTAATTGTTGTCTTCTCTGATTTTCAGGATGTTTTGCATTGGACTGTTTTTTTTTTGGCTTTGACCCTTGCTTGCCCCTGACCTCACTCTTGGACTGCCCTGTTGGAATTTCAGTTTATTTAATTAAAAAAATTTTTTTTGGTTCTGGGTAGATGCTAATAAATATTTAATTGTAATTATTTAATGTAAATCAAAGGCGGCAACACCAAGGCTCCAAAAATACAAATTTATTAAATTAAAAAGGCTGACACAGAGCGTAAAATGTTTCGAGCCGCCGGCTCTTCATCAGACAAATAATTTTTCGTTGTAATTTTTTAAATAATATGTTTTTGTTAAATATGCGATTTCTGTGTTTGTTCTGTCTACTCGAACTTGTTTATCTGGTTTCTGTAATTATCATTTGTTTATTTGACCCTTGCCTCGCCTCTGATCTTGTTTTTGGATTGCCCTTCATATATCTTTTTAATTATTGGTTCTAGTTATATGGTTATAAAATATTTGTTAATTTAATTAATATGCATTATATTAAAAAATACATATAAATATATTTTCTGTGTTTTTTTCTGTATCTATTTATCTAATTTGTATATACATTTGTGTTTGTATGTTCTTCTTATTCTGTATATCCACTTACCTAATTTTACCTTTTATATATATATTTATTTGCATTTAATTTGTGATTATTCTGTATGCATTTATTTATCTAATTCATATATTTATATGTATTGCATTGATCAATCTGTTGTTGTTTTTTTTTTGTATGCATCTATTTATATAATTTATATAAATTATATATTTGTATTTATCAATTTATATGCTTCCTTTGAAGCAATTTTTTAAATAAAGCAATTTAAACTAAGCATTCCTTTTAATGTGATTTATATAGCTACCAAATGTAGATGTCAGCCACATCTAACCCAAAAGTCAGCCGCAACTGAACAAGATCTGGGCCAGATCTGTGAAATTGCATGGGCCGCATCTGGGCCAGATGTGAGAAACTGCATGGGCCGCAGCTGGGCCAGATTTCAGAATTTGCATGGGCCGCAGCTGGGCCAGATCTAAGAAAATGTATGGGCCACATCTGGCCCAGATATGGACCAAGCTTTTTCTGAGATATGGCCCAGATCTGGTTCAGTTGTGGCTGACTTTTGGATCCTTATGACAGCCACAATCAGGTTGAGACATCGCCGTCATTCCGCGCTGTATGTGGGCCAGAAGAAAGTGGGGGATGTGGGCCATATCTGGGCCAGATGTAATTTGCTATCAGTGACCAGCATGGGATTGCTGGTCACTATCAGCGCCAGCATCCCAGCTGCATCTCATGCTGGTGACCAGCATCCCAGCACCAGCATTCCATGCTGGTCACCAGCATAGCACCCAAATCCCAGCAAGACCAGCATATGTTGTGTTTTGGTGCTGGTGACCAGCATAATACCAGCATCACAGCACCAGCATCCCATGGTCACCACAGCATAACACCAGCATCCCATGCTGGTCACCAGCATAATACCAGCATCACAGCACCAGCATCCCATGGTCACCACAGCATAACACCAGCATCCCATGCTGGTCACCAGCATAGCACCAGCATCCCATGCTGGTCATCACAGCATAACACCAGCATCACAGCACCAGCATCCCATGCTGGTTATCAGCATACCAGCACCAGCATCCCATGCTGGTCACCAGCATACCAGCACCAAAACACAACATATGCTGGTCTTGCTGGTGACCAGCAATGCTGGTCTATGCTGGTTTTTTCAGCAGGGCTAGCAACATGCTAAAATAAAACTGTATTAGTATTTATTTAGGTTTGCCTTGTTTAAAATGGCAGGGATCTATAAACTAACAATTTCACCAAGTATTTCTGGACACTATATGCATTTTGTGCAGATTAATGTTTGCTTAGCAGAAAGCTTAAAGCAATAAATCAAATCATATTTAAATCAATAATGTTGTTTGTTAGCATATAAGCTTCATATAGTGTAGCTTGTTATATATTTTTTTACTTACTAGAGATTTATAAACTTAAAGTTTTTCCCAATGCGATATATTTTCATGTTTATTGTGGTGGCAGCTTAGCAGCTGCTAACATCAAACTGTAGTAGTTTTGTTTGCTAGTTTCAGCTGTATCTGTAAGAGTTAATAAGTTTGTTTGTTTGTTAGCATATAAGCTTAACCCTTTTAGGCCCATTTCCACTGAGTGGTACGGGTACGATTCGGTTTGGTATGCTTTTATGGCCGTGCACTTCTTAAAAAAAATGTTTTGGTCCAAGTCTTGCATTAAATAATATACTGACACACATCTTATAAATAGTAATAAGCAATTAAAATTTTAATGATAGCCAATGGATTAAAGGTCAACCAGGTGGTTATGATGCCTGTTAAAGATAGAGTAGCTTTTGATGTTTTCTTTACTTACTAGAGATTTATAAACTTACAGTTTTGTCCAAGGCAACATATGTTCATGCTTATTGTAGTGTTAGGTTAGAAGCCTGCTAACATCAAACTGCAGTAACTTTGTTTGCTGGTTTCAGCTGTGTCTGTAAGAGTCAATTTTGTTTGTTTGCATATACAGTCCTCTTCATGTAGTGTAGCTCTTATTATATGTTTTCAGTATGTATACTAGAGATTTATAAACTTATAGTTTTGCCCAATGCAACATATATTTTCATGCTTATTGTAATGTTAGCTTAGCAGTATGCTAACATCAAACTGTAGTATACATTGTTTGCTGGTTTCAACTATAGATGGTTTAGTTTTTATGCTAGCAGACCTTTTTAAAATGAACAGTTTTATTATTTAACAATTGTTTACAAAGTATCTCCATGCTTATCATAGTGTTAGCTATGTCAGCTGTGTCTGTAAGAGTCAATACCTTTGTTTGTTAGCATTTTAGCTTCATATAGTTTTATATTAGCTTCAGCTTGTTATATGTATTTTTACTTACTAGGGATTTATAAACTTAAAGTTTTGCCCAATGCACTACATATTTTCATGCTTATCAGTGTTAGCTTAGAAATCACTGCTATTGGAGTGTTTATTGGTTTCTAGCTCAAGAAAGCTTAATCTTTAGGATATGGACTACATTGTGATTATGCTAAATGAATGTTTTAATAATGTTTTAAATAACATTCTGAGAACATTAATATAATACAAAACTGAAACGTTATAAAAACCTTTGAATAATGTCATTATAAGCCAAAAATTTACATTAATTCTTATCTAATAAACTGGAAATTCAAGAACATTCAAAAATTATATTAAGAGAACATTTTTAGAGAACGACATGCTGGCTCAGGGGTTAGCACTGTTGCCTCACAGCAAGAAAGTCGCTGGTTCGAGTCTCGGCCCTGTTTGGAGTTTGCATGTCACGGTTGTCAAGTACATGCGCTCTTTTTTTTTTTATTCATGTTTGGTGTTGTCACGTGGTTCTGTGTTATGGTTTCATGTGCTCTGAGGCATGCTTTGTTTACATTACGTGATCAACGGGATTATCAGCAGTTCCAGCTGATGTCACTTTGCTCACCTGTATTAGAGCGGAAAGCCAGGACATCATTGTCAGTTTGTTGCTCTTGCTCTGTTTATGATCTTTCTGTGTTTTGTCAGGATAGTCGGTCTGAATCTAGATGTTCCTGGTGATATAGCAATGACTATCTTCGTCCTCGCTACTAGCTCCCTATTTTCTTGTGTTCACCTTTTGACTATAATAAATCACTTGCATTTGGATCCTTTTTGTCTTGCTTACTCTCACCGTTACATTGCATGCTCTCCCTGTGTTCGCGTGGGTTTCCTCCGAGCGCTCTGGTTTCCTCCACAGTCCAAATACATGCACTATAGGTGAATTAAATACACTAAATTGACCGGAGTGTTAGTGTGTACATGTGAAAGAGTATGGATGTTTCACAGTACTGGGTTGCAGCTGGAAGGGCATCCGCTGTGTAAAACATGCCGTATAAGTTGGCCGTTCATTATGGGGTGGCGAACCCTGATAAATAAAGGGAATAAGCCGAAGGAAAATGAATGAATGACGAACAATTTTAGAAGCTTGTTATCTGCGGAAGACCAAAAATTATCATACCCAGTATTATCAAAAATTATGACACTGTTCAGTATTTTTTTATTTTTTATTTTTGTCTTTTGGAAGAGACCAACTCTATTTATCATGCACTTTGATCTTTGTAGACCCTTGTGTTCACAAATTGTGATGTTAAACACACTACATGAAAGCCAACATCCAAAACAGCATAAGGGGGGCACTTTAAACATTCGGGCAAGTTTTGGGCAAATTTTGATCCCAATTTCATGTGCCATAAAATCCTTTGCCAGATGCAGCTAATATTTAACAGTGGAACGTCTCTATTCTGTGGGTTTTCAAAATGCAAACACAATGGCTCTGTTTACTGCAATTAAGTTAATGGACATGCTTTAAGACGCAGCTCTGAGACTTGGATTACAGCAGATTGTAAAGCCGTTTATGAGCTCATTAGAAGTTTGTGTCTTTGCCACTGTGCAGTGTTTCTCTCCCACACTGTGTTTCGAGATGACGGATAGAGAGTGATTGTGTGCGGATTTCTCCTGAATGATGTCACAGCATGCCGGATTTAGCTTGGGCGAATGTCACTCCACTGTTCTGAGTGTCTGTGTGTATGGGAGAAGTGCAAACACTGTTTCTCCTCTCACAGCAGAGCACACGCACCTCTGACATCCCTGACGGACATGTTTTTTACAGTTTCAGCCTGAGAGGGGAAATGACATCATTAATGGATACGGGCTCATGGGCAGATGTATACACGAGGTTGAGGCCAAATATATCAGCAGCTTTGCATACTTCTTTTGCAAATCATGCAACATGTCTGCAATGTTCTACAATGCAAGACTGTATATTTGTTACCCACAGTGAAAATGTAGACATGCTCGACAGAATTTGCTTCTCATGATGGTTGAGAAGAGCAAAGAACTGAGATCTAGACTAAGGTTTTGGTAATTTTTGGTCATTTTCCATTAGTGGCATAGTTTTGATGACTTTACAGTTAGGATTTGGGCTGCACATTATATCGTCTATAGTTAGCGTCGACATTGCAATGTGCACATTAGACAACAGTCACATCGCAAGATATGCAGTGCAATGTTGAGTCGTATGCCGAGTTCAGACACAGGCGAATCGCTGCTCGTTTACGTG